AAAAAAAAAAAAAAACACAAAACAAAAAAAAAAAAAAAAAAAAAAAAAAAAAAAAAAAAAAAAAAAAAAAAAAAAAAAACAAATTGGCAAAGATTTTACAATTATCATAATCAATATCATAACTTATACTATACAGTTTGTCAACTGTATAGCTTATTTAACCAACTTCATACAGAAGATAATAACTGTTTATTACTAGAACAAGTACTTCACAAAATTGACCTTTGGTCTATATACTAAATACTATATAGCTACCCTACAAATAACATCTTATATTATTAAATTTATGTGAGTTTTAATCACTTTAGTAGATTTAGATTGCAGTTAAATTAGATAGTAATCTGTTTATAGTCTGAGCTTATTTTTGTAATACATTTGTAATTAAAATAACTTTGTAATTTATATTCAGAGAAACCCTTAGAGGTTTCTTTAACAAATTAATAAAGATATAAGCAAAGCCTCATCTTAATTTCAAAAAAATATATATATATATTTTATAAGCAAAGTATACTCTATATTATTAATAAATTATTATTTTATTTAAAAAATATTAAATACAATTTAATTGTTCAGAACAAATTTATCTAAAATATGATTTAAAAGATAAGCAAAATATATTTTATATTATTAATAAATTATTATTTAATTTAAAAAATACTAAATACAATTTAATTTTTTAAGCAAATTTGTCTAAAATACAGTTTAAAAAATAAACTTTATTTTAATTTTAATAAAATATTTTAATTATAAAAAATAATTTAATATGCATAAAAAAATTTAAAATTTTTTTGTATATATATATAAAAGTATTTGTTTAAAGTATTTTATATGAAGAAATACAAACTAATACTAGGTAATATGAACTCATAATAAGTTGTTATAACTATATAAATCACAAAAATTAAAAAAAATAAAAACCCAATTAGAAGACCTGAATCATAAGATAATCTGAACTTTTAACAATATTATTATAAAAAATAAACCTATAAAATAAAATTAGAACTTATAAAACCAGATAAAAACAAATTAGTCTTTGAAAAGAGATTATTGTAATTAACCAAATTGTCAGAATTTATTCTGAAGAAAAAGGTTATATATTAAAAGATTATGTAAACCAAAGATATGGTTATACCTATCTTTCTGAACTATTCAAACTAAGATTTTAATGGAACTTAAATTAAATATCAAAATAATAAAGATATATTGTTAACTATAAAAATGAAATATGAAAGATTCTAAAAGGTTTAGTATAAGATTAAAAGTTCCTTATATAAATGAACTGCTTTAAAGACTTAATAACTATAACATATTTGTACTAGTATTGACTAAGATATATTAATAAATATAGATAAGTGAGTGAATATAAGAATTAGTGTTTAAATAAGGAACCTACAAGCAGGTTTTAAATATGATAGTATAGAACCTTCAAGCAGACTACTTAAATTAGACAATAACTAAAGTTGTACAAGTAGCTAGTTGTATATTCTTTTCATAGTTGCCTTCTATAGTTATAATGCAACCATTAGCTGAATGTACTATCAATAAAATCCTAGGTTGTAAGTACTCACCTTAATATATAAAAAAAAAAAATTTATTTGTTTAAGTTTAAAATCAAAATTAAGAGCATTTAAAAAGAATGTTCATTAAAAACTCTTTCTGATGATTCCTCACACTAATTTTTTCCAAAAGTCTGATTTATGAAAACTATATAGTTATTATATTTAAATATAACAAAACTCTATTTTGAATAACTAGAGAAACTATTCATTGCATGTTTGGTTGTAACTGAAAAGAGCTGAAAAAGATTCAAACCCTTGTAAACGAAGTCCCTTGGTAAAACATGAGTACTACCAAGTAAAAAAATAATAGATAAACTCTAGAACTTTGTTAAATGCTATAAGGGCTTAGGCCTAAATAGTTACTTAGTTTAATATAATATTCTATATAGCATAACTCTTATAACTTCTTTTCAAGTTGGTTCTTCTTTCTGCTCTCACTACTGGATTTTTCTTTTGGAATTTTTACCAAAAAGTGAGAAATCTGATGTATCCTCTTCAAAGAATCAACATTGTTTATCTTTCCAAATCGGTAATGTTAGTCATGAAAAAACCATGAGATAAGTATCGGATCTATAATGGATGATATATTTTAAATTCAAAAGAAAAATAAAAACTTCGACCATTCTCTCTACATAATAAATAGAATATATTGTAATACAGAGATAAAGCAAATGTGAGATATTTTTTATTTAGTATTATATAGAATTTTTAAAACCTAATATAGGCAAAAATAGTGTCTTCATGTTTTTTGTTTTTTCTTTATTCTTCTTTGTTATCTTTTTCTTTTTTCTTTTGGTTTACGTTTAAGTTTTGTAATTAGTTCCCATTTTTTTTTTACTTTCTTTTAGTTTTTCTTTCTTATATTCTGTTGTTCTTTAAGCAAAGATTATAGAATCCTCTTACTCGATAATTGAATGAAAGAAAAAAATGAATTGAAGATGAAACTAGGAGGATAATTTTAGAACTTGTCATGAAAGAAGAAAGATCCTTTCATTATGAACTTTAAATAATCAGATGAACGGTTTACTTCTGCTTGAAGTAATGTGACAGATTGCACTTAGACGCCATTAGGGTGGCCGGGTGATGCTAGACTTAGTTGTTAGGCAAATCTATGTAATTGTAGCAATTGCAAGAATCTTAATAAAGTACTAGCGTGACTGTCTATATAAAAAAAAAAAAAAAAAAAAGAGGTTCATTTATAATACAATTATAAAGATCTGACTGTGCCTTTTGAAGTTAACTGTATAGCAGATCTGCTCTATAATTGGTTGGTATAAAGTTTTTATTATACAAACATTTTTTGAGTTTGTTAAATTTTTTTTTTTTTGACATCCATTATCATATTCAGTAATGATAATGGAAAAGTTAACAGACGTACAAAAAGGAATAGCAGAAAAACGTCCGGCAAGTATAAAATTTTTTAAAAAAAGGTTGAAAGTCAAAAATTTTTAAGAATTTTATATATATCAAAAGGAGCTTGTCCCACTAAAAGCATGCCAACAAAAATCTAAGATAGATGGATTTTATAGTGGTGTTTGTGGAGGAATATTGACAGGTAAGGATTTAGTTTACTGTTATGGATTATATGGATTGTAAAGTCGTGAGAAAGCGACCTTGATAATTTGTTGATCTTTTTCAAATTGATAATGTTTCATTTAACTATAGGCATTCTGTCGAAAAGAATTCTAAAATTACCATCGAACAAAGTTGCATTATCGGTATTGTGTATGTACACGTTAGTTATACAGAGTTTGATGAATAATATATATTAATTTTTTATGATTTAAAGCTTCTTCGGTTCTAATAGGATATATAATTAGTTATAAGTCATTCAGTTCATGTATGGCAGATGTACAACTGCAACAATTACAAAAACATGATTCTGAGAGGCGAAAAGAAGCTAAAGAAGGGATGTCAGATGTAACTTCAAGGGATCAGTTTCAAGAGAGTATCTTTACAGATCCTTATAACGCTGAGAATGGTAGGTCCAAATAGAAGGATTAATATAAGCGAGAGTAGAAAATAGGATTAAGTTCAGATGTAGAGAAATAAGTCGAACGAATTACTTTTATGTCACAATTTGACGATTATATACAAGATTTTATTGCATCCTTAATAACTTTATGTATATTAAATCAATATGTTTTTGAGCTTTGTAAAATCAATTAAATAATTGAGAATAAAGACTAAAAGGTGTATCCCTCAATGAATTTAAAGAACGACCTGATTGGCTAAAGTGATTGATTATGACCAATTTAAATCGAAAAAGCCTTAAAGTGATTGATTATGACCAATTTAAATCGAAAAAGCCTAAAAATACGATCACCCATTTGAGTTGCTTAAGATTTAAATCCGTATTTTGCATTATGAAGTGGCAGCAAAGTCGTTATAAAGTTACTTTAATTAATTGCAAAGATTAAGCAATATCTCGATCACTATCAAATTATGATTTTTATAAAAATGCCTATTTTTTTTATAAATACCATTCAAATTATTGAGTTTTGTAACACTAATGACAATGCAAAGGTTGAAAGGGTTCCAATTCTTTATAAATTAATCTTTTTAAAAGCATGAGTAAACATCTTAATTACACTGGAAATGTACACTTGCAAAAAACGAACTTTATTAAAAAGTTTTCTAGATTATAATTAATAGCATAGTAATATACAGTCAAATACAAGAATTGATTAAGATCAAAAAAGTATTACATCATATTCATTATGCAAAAAAATTCTTTACAACTATGCAAGGGGCAAATTCACATAAGCACTGTACATAAAATTTATTGACCACCACGAAGTCGGAGAACCAAATGAAGGGTAGATTCTTTCTGAATATTATAATCAGATAAAGTACGACCATCTTCTAATTGTTTTCCTGCAAAAATTAAACGTTGCTGGTCCGGGGGAATACCTTCCTTATCTTGTATTTTTTGTTTAACCTGATCGATGGTGTCAGAAGATTCGACTTCTAAAGTAATGGTTTTACCCGTAAGGGTTTTGACAAAGATTTGCATACCACCACGAAGTCGAAGAACTAAGTGAAGAGTAGATTCCTTTTGGATATTATAGTCTGAGAGGGTACGACCATCTTCTAGTTGTTTACCGGCGAAGATCAAGCGTTGCTGATCCGGGGGGATTCCTTCCTTATCTTGAATTTTTTGTTTTACTTGATCGATGGTGTCAGATGACTCTACTTCAAGCGTAATAGTTTTACCCGTGAGGGTCTTGACGAAAATTTGCATACCGCCACGAAGACGGAGAACTAAATGCAAAGTAGATTCTTTTTGGATATTATAATCCGAGAGAGTACGGCCATCTTCTAATTGTTTTCCGGCGAAGATTAAACGCTGCTGATCCGGGGGAATTCCTTCTTTATCTTGAATTTTCTGCTTCACTTGGTCGATGGTGTCGGATGATTCAACCTCAAGGGTAATAGTTTTACCAGTAAGAGTTTTTACAAAAATCTGCATACCACCGCGAAGTCGAAGCACTAAGTGAAGCGTGGATTCCTTCTGGATGTTGTAATCTGATAACGTGCGACCGTCCTCTAATTGTTTACCAGCAAAAATCAATCGTTGCTGGTCCGGAGGGATTCCCTCCTTATCCTGAATCTTCTGTTTAACCTGATCAATTGTATCCGACGACTCAACTTCAAGGGTGATCGTCTTTCCGGTAAGAGTTTTAACGAAAATTTGCATTTTGTTTAAGCGGTAGTTAATAAAATATTGAGAGTTGTAAGAATTTTTTTGAATTTAGAAAAATATACGTGTAAACTTATTTATGAGAAAGTAAGAAATGTTGTTCCTTTTATAATAAAAGTTACTCGTTTACTTTACTATTAGTAATGATGCCGCAGATCGGTTCGGTGATAAGCCTCCCTGAAACATCGGTGTTTGTATTTGGCTATATCCGTTTGATTAAAAACAAAGAACTTGTGTATCACAAAAAAAGATAAACCAGTCATTTTTGATGAGTCATTCTAAATATACATCATTCATTGGTCATAGATTGTGTTATTTATCTTTTAAGTTTACTGCAGCGGAATTTGCGGCTCCATTAAACGTTACACGATTGTTACATAACAATTACATAAATCATTCTATTATCGTTCTTTAAGAAAAAATTTTCTCAATAACGACGATCAAGATTATTGGCGTTGTGAAATTGCATTAACCAGTGGCATTTTAACCAATGTAATAAAGTTATTGACGTTATCTTGGCTTAGACTAGTGTTATTTCGAGGTTCTGAATCTCTTTTTGGTTGTGGTACGAATACGATCATGCAAATATCGCGTAAGTTCCAGACTTCTGAATAATAAAATGTGATCATTAACCAATCAAATTATACATGTTTTTTCATTATTTACATAAAGTAAGATTACAAAAAAAATCTGGTCGGCCTAGATGGATTGACATCGGCCTATATACGAATAAAGCAATTTTATAATGATGCTATTTAAAGGCATATAGAAAATGCTTATTGTATAATTTAGTAATACGTATCGATACACAGTATGATTGCTCTAATATATACTGTATTAGAAAACGAAAAGAAATTTTGATACCTAAAGACTAAGATTGCTTGACACGTTCTGGTTTAAAAAAAAATTAATTTGAGGGGGGGTTTTTTTAACCTTAAACAGTTACGCTAATACTTTATTAAGATTCTTGAAATTATATACATATACGTATAATTACATAGAATTTTTCAATATAAGTTTAATGATACCTAAGTGCAACCTGTTGCATTATTTCAGTTAGAAATAGATTGCTTGTTTAATTATTTAAAGTCATACTATATAGAAGGGTTTATTTCCTTCTGTAACAAGCATATCAATTGTTTTTAATGTTTCTTTTTTTATTTGTTTTATTTTTTCTATTTTCATTTTTTTTCATTTTTTTTGATATTTTATTTTTTATTTTTTTTATTTTAATTTTTTTTTCTTTACTATTTTTTTTATTTTATTCATTATGTTAAGAGTTTTTTTCTTATTTTTGTACTCTTTTACATCAAATTTTTTATGTTTGATCATAAAGATATTTTATATTATTTTTGTTATTATATTTATATATTTCTATGTTATATTTTGTTTAATAACTGTTTAAGTTCTTTTTTAACTTTCAATATTATAAGTCTTTTTATTAGTATTTTTCTGTTTTTAATTTTTTTTTTCTTTATTTTTTCAAAAAATGTTTTATATAGTATTTGTAATAGAATTTTTTATCTTTGTTTTTCTTTAAATCTATTTTATATTGTTATCATTGATATTTTTTAAATTCATTTTTATAGATTTTTTTATTTGTTGCAGTTTGTTATATATATTTAGATTTTTTTTTTATTTTAACAAATCAATAGTCTATTATTGTATATATTTTTTATTTTTTTTTATTTTTTTTATTTTTATTTTTATTTTTTTTAAAGGTTATATTTTGTAATGATATTTTATTAATTTTTATTAGGTTAGTTATTATAATTATTTTTATAAAGATAAGAGTATAACTAGTTATATATGCAATTTTTAGTTGTCTATTTAAGTAATTTATTTTAAGGTTTTACATTAAATGTCAGACCTATAACCTACTAAAAGATTATTTATTTAAATCTTATAATCATTTGCTCTATTATAATGTAAACTAAAGGCCTGCATTAGGTCCTGTAGCCTGGCTCAGTTTGGTTTGGCTTACAAATTTTTATAGACTAAGCTGAGCTTGAAGCAAAATTTTATAATTATAGTCTAGATCAGGCCAAAAATTTTGCAAAATTTTATAATTATGAATTAGTGCAAATTTAAAATTTTGTAAAATTATATAAGAAATTTTTGTGAGCTAAGTTGGGTTGAAGAAAAAATTTAATATATATGAACTAGGTCAGGCTAGCAAAAAAATATTAACTCTAAATATGGGCCAAGCTGAGTCAGAAAAAAAATTTTAATCCTAAATACAGGTTGGACTAGACTTTAAAAATAAGCAATTTACAGACTTCTAATGTAAATTCAACTAATCTTCTATATATAATTAACTAATATATTGTCTGAGCAATATATTATCTACTTTTTTTATACTAGTTCTTAGGTTGTTATATATTTCAAAGTATATTACCTGCCAGTAAGGCACAAAAGGCCTCTTGTTGTTAACTATCTACTCATTTTTAAAATACTAACAAGAGTTATTCTTACAGAGTTCATCCAAATCTCAGTATTAACTTTATAGTATATTCTTAGTATTTTAGTATATTCTTGCTTTAATTTTAGACTCTTAATTCAGATAGTCTAGAAGAACTATGACCTGTATTTAGTATATTTAGGCCAGTCTAATATTCTTTTCTTTTGGTCTAAAATCTGACAGTTTAGTTGATAATATCCCTTATCTGAGATTCTTGTCTGCCTAATTCTTTTATATTGGTATTTATTTTCTAGGTCTAGCCTTTATAGTAGTACCATCAAAGATCTGTATTATCTTTCTGCTTAGAATTTCCAAATAAGCTCCAGCTTCTTAGTTCTATAGATTTATACAGTCTAAAAACTTATTTTAAATTTGCACTGCCTAGTATCAGTTTGTATTACTTTGTATAACAGATTATACAAATACTCCAAACCTGTCAGTCATGCTAGTGCAATTATAGTTACAGATATCCTATTCCAACTAATTAACAGAATGCTATTATCATAATACTATCTATATATTATATAAGTAATTATTCAAATTTTATTATTAGTAGATTTTGAACTTACAACCTATTATTTGAAAGAATAACAACTTATTTACTTTATTAAGTTATTATGCCCCATTTTTTTTTATTTAGTTTTTTTAATATCAGTAGACTGTTTATTATAAACTTGATTATTGTAATTCTTTTTATACTAAGTCTTTTTTATATATAGTATATTTTTTTTGTTCTATTGATTTCTTTTCAAAAACTTAACTAGTTGTATAATGTTTATTCAGTTTCTGGTTTTTAGTATTCTAATTAAATTTGTTTCTTTCTAATTGGTTTCAATTTTGGTATTCATAATTATTTTACAAAAAAGTCTTATTGGCATATTTTTTTTTTTTTTTTAAATATTAAGGTGAGTACTTGTGACTCAGGATTTTATTGATAGTACATTCAGCTAATAGTTGTATTACAACTACAGGGGGCAATCATAGAAAGAGTGTACAACTAGCCATTTGTACAACTTTAGTTATTGTTTAATTTAAGTAGTCCACCCGAAGGTTCTACACTAGCTGCCATACCTAGAACCTGCTTGTAAGTTCTCTATTTAACTACTCTGTTCCCGTATCTACCCACTTACCTACACCTACCAAGATGCCCTGGTCGATACCAGTTCAAATATGCCATGGTCACTAAGTCTTTAAAGCAGTTTACTCACATGGAGAACCTTTGACCTTGTACTAAACCTT